TTCGTTCTGTGGTTAAAAAAAAAAAAAAAAACACTTGTGCATGTGTCTGCCATTCTGAGGGTGTATGCATGTGTGTGTGTGCAAAAAACGAGGAGTGAATGGCTTGGCTCCACATCAAAGGCCCATGCGAGTCTCTGCATTAACGAGGCCCTTTGTTTCCTGCCTCCCAGATTACAGCACGGTTTGGTGTGTGTGTGTGTGGGGTGGGTGGGTAGGTGGGTGTGTGGGTGTGAGAGACTAAACGGAGGGCACACTAACCTGGACACTGAAGGCCAAGGTCTGATCCTCCTCCTCATTTTCTTCATCTAATATAATCAAAACATTGTGAATTCAAGCAAACAGTACATTCTGAACTTGAGGAAACTCTTAACTCTCTTCAACTTAAAACTATTTTTGCTGCCTAGGTTGGGGTTTTATCATTCATATACTATTCTGTATTAACTCTCATACCAATGTTTTATGTCTTTTGAGATTCTAGCTATGCAGTCACCATGTGCTATGCTCTAAAAATTACAATTAATGGTATTTGTTTAACATTACCACACAACCACATACTTCAATTGGAATTTTAAGTAACAAACCATAATGTGGGTTATTTTTAATACATAAAGATCTAAAAATTAAAGTTTGCCTATATGTTCTGCAAAATAGAAACAAAAAATATTTTATGAATGTTTGTCTTTGTCAGATAAGCACATGCATCCATTCATTTTCTATATCTGCTACTTTTCTGAAAGATCATAGGCAATGGCGGCTAGCCAATAGAGGGCGCAAGGGCTCACCCAACACTCACCCAATGACCTTGATTAAGACATAAAAAAAACAAATAAAAATGTTATTATAAAATGAAGATATTTCAAAATATATTAATATAATTTTTAGATGTGCAAAATTAATATTTAATCTTTAATGACAAGTAAAGCTTTTTCAGTCGTCGTTGGATCTGTGATGTATTTCTGCCCTAGGGCTCAGGAATCTTTGCCTATAGACTCTCAAAAGTTGTACAAAAGTTGTAGCTACTCTGCAATACAAAAGATAGAACAATGCTGGACTGCAGCTATCCTGCACCCAGAGATAAAAACCAACTTTATTTGAACACCACCTCCTGCCACAGCCGTCTATTATAAGGTGCGGCTAATTGAAAGATTTATATAATTATTTAGCCTACAGCATGCAGCAAGGCTAACGCTTTATTATTCTCCTCCTTTTTCAAACATCAGGATCTGACCCAGCCTGAATTAAGATAGTATAACTGATTTAAAGCACTTTTCAGAATATTTTATAATTTTGTTTTCTATTTTTAGCATAAATACACTGGTTTACTTTTATTAGGTTTTTGGTATATATCTATTTTGAAGTCAAGCTTGGATCAGTTAACCGAGCCGAGCTTGGCTGTTACAACCATTTACACATCACGCTAGCACGGTTCCTCGTCTCCTGTCGGCAGTCTACACTGCTATAGCTCTCAAGGCAGGAATTTTTTAAAAGTGGTGACGTCCATAACATTCAGGAACCTATGGGCCTGGGTTGCGTCCTCCACCCGAATTTCAATGAGACCCTCAGTCCCAAGTCGCACCATGCTCTTTTGATGCCATTTATTCTTAATAAGATGAGAAGAGGTTTGTGTTGCAAATAGATGAAGAGATCTGTGAACTGCAAAGCCGGACACGCCGGAAAACCTACAAAAAATTTGTCAGCTGAATGTAAATAGAAGATGACGTGGCCTGGTCATGCAATCTTTGTTAACAGAAAAACCAAGAAACAACTGAAGCATGCCAAACCCTACTGTTGAACTAGTATTAGATTTAGGACGGTTCTGTTGTGTCTGGCACAGTCCAGTTCAGTTGCGTTCCATTTGCACTCAACAGGTATCTCAGTTACCATGCTCGGACCCTTCTCAGCACAGTTTCAAAGGGTCGGGTAAATGGGGCTGTAGTGTGTTTATGGGATTTTTTTTTATTCTTACAGACGCGTCTTTTGAGGTTTAACAAGAAGGCCTAGCTCTCAGTCTCTGCTTTAATACATCTCAAAGGTGTTGGGGTCAGGACTCTGTGGACGCCAGTCAAGTTCATCCACAGCAGAGTCTACCATTCATATCTTTATGGACCCTGCTTTGTTCTCTGGTCCACAGTAGTTAGACCAGTGTATTAGTTGGAGGAGGATGGACCAGCTCCAAACTTTTTCCTCAAATTTGGGCTGAGAGAATAGTCCAAAATGTCCTGGTTTGCTGTAGCATTCAGAATTACTTTTACTGGAACTAACGGTCAAGCCGAGCACATAAAAAACCAGTACTGTTCTCCTGGCAACCACCAAACCCAGACTTGTCCATCAGATTTCTAGATGAGGCCTGATTTGTTACTCAAGAGAATGTCTTCACTGCTCTGGAGTCCAGTGGCATGCATGTTTTACACCAACTTTCCATCTGAAGTTTTGCATTACACTTTGTTATATATGGCTTGGATGCAGCTGCTTGACCATGGGAACCAATTCCATGAAGCTCTCTGTTGTGGAGCTAATCTGATGGCCACATGAGGCTTGGAGGTGTGAAATGATTGACTATGCAGAAAGTCGGTGACCTCTTCACACTATGCCCTTCATCTTTAGCATTTACATGGCCTACAGCTTCATGGCTTAGTTGCTGTCATTTCCAAACCCTCAATTTGGTTATGACACAGATGACAGTTGACTATGAAAGGTTTAGGAGTGAGGAAATTCCATATCTGGATTTTTTGCACAGCAAGCAACCTATCACAGTTCTACATGAAAATTCCCTGAGCCCCTAAGTTCTTTTATAAATGTTTGTAACACAAGTCTGTATGCAAAGCAGCTTAATTTGATACACTTGTGGAAGTGACTGGAACACATTATTCCAATAATGAATGAATGAATAATAAAGTGATTAATGCTGATGTGCTTTAGTAGTTTTTCAATATTCACAGAGTTTTGCATGTTGGTTACGCATTATTTTCCTCCCACTCTTCCATAAAGGTCAGATTAGTGGAGAGCTTTATCAATAGTAGTTCAGTCATGACCTGAGCAGTCAATCTGTGCTGCCCCTCCTGACTTATCATCATTTCTGTTACTTCTCTAAATAATGTTCTCCCTGTTTATTTCGAAGCTTAGATTATTGTTTGTAACTTAAACCTGCTTTAAATTTTACAACATCACAATCCCTGAGAAGATGCTGTCTCTTCCCTAAACTTCAAAGTTTTGTTGCTTTTTACAGAACATCTGGATTTAGAGTCATATCAATGAGTGGAGGTCGCAGGTGCAGCAAGAGTGGTGACTAACCACAGCTGTGGTTCAAGGCATCTTAAATGGCCCGCTCAGGCAGGAGAGAGTCACTATTTGTGCTTTGTGTTGCCTCTGGTCAGTTCCTTGTTCCTCACTGGCTCTCATGCTGACTTCCTCTTTCTTCCTCATCTTCCTGGAATCTGTGGATCTGCTTGGTGCTATTGGGAGCAACTCCTTGGATTCAATTCCCTGTACCTCACCAACTAGAAGCAAGACAAATATTGCACCATCAGCACACATCATATTCTATCAGTCTCAGACCCACTCCTCTGGATCTTTGAAACCAAGACCCTGTCCTACAAAGCAGGACGATTAATCTGGAAAGGGACAGACCCCTTCCAATTAATCTCCTAAAACATGCCCTGGAGTGTGTGGTTTGATCTGCAGCAAAGGGTATTATGCAAAGCATTAAAATAACACTAAGAAAAAATGTCTTTATTTACCAGATATTTGACTTTTAATTGCAGTTTGTTTTCATTTAGCAGAAACAAAAAGATGGAGGCTGAATGTAACATTGTGCAACTTAAACCAACCCTGGAGAAGCAGCATTTAGTTCCTATGCTCCACTCATGTTGAACAGACTTCCAGAAGAGTTTAAAAGTGCTGAAAGCCTGAGTTCTTTTAAGCCAAAGTAAAAAAAATAAATTTGTTTAGAGCTGCCTTTAGCTGTTAAAGTTGAAGCTATGATTTATCATTTATTTAAGTGTGAGGTCCAACAATTCTGTTTGATTTATTACCTGCATTTATCATGTTTTTTTATATATACTTGCTTTTGTTTTGCTTTATTTTTAATGTATTATTCATGTAAAGTGCTTTGGATTGTGTCTGTACTGACTGCATTATATAAATATAATTGCCTTGCCTTGAAAACATGTATGACTTTTCTTTCACTTCACTACTACCCATAGGAAAGCAAAATCCAAGAAGAGATCTCGTTGTTGTTTCTTTCATTTCTCCTAGACACAAATGAGCTATTTTTGATACTAAGGTGAGACCAAAGGTTTTTTCTCCTGCTTCTCAAATTCAACTCAGGAGAAACAATCACATATAATCTCATGTTTGATCAAAACAAGAGATCTCTATATGATCTGAAATATGTCTAATTTCAGCCTCCTAAACATGAGACCATGAGATCAAAGAAAGAACTCAAAGAAAACTCAGCTATGACTCCCAAGATCTCATTATTCTTCTCAAATATGTCTCGGTTTTCTCACAGTGACCTCAGAATAAACAACCAGAGTGTGTCTTACTCTGATCAAAAGAAGAGATCTCTAAATGATATTAAATAAGTCTCATTTAATTCTCCCGTACATGGATAAGAGAAGCTCCATGAAATCTCATAAATAGAGTTACTTGCATGAGTATTTTGATTTTACATACTACATACTACATTTCAAATTCTGCATTGTAATTATTGTATTATATTACTGTAAGTTCATTACCTTGTAACTTACAAGAAAACAAGACAGAAAATAATGCACTTTTAAATTCCAAGTTTTCCAATTTATTAATAAAATAATAAAAATCAACATAACTAGACAACCAACCGTTTCAGTATTATATTTAGAGATTAATGCAAATTCTTTAAGGATGCATGTCAGTACTGTACAGAAATCATACAGAAAAAAGAAATAAAAATGTGGTTAAGAAACATGAATCCTCAGTGCACATACAGTGAGAATGAACTATATTTCAAATAATTTGTAAGTAAGGTAGTAATAATGGAAATAAAATATTCACTGGGCCAAAGACGAGAGCGGGATGGGTCGGACGTCTAGAGCAGCTGATTGGAGGTTTGAATTTCAAACTGACACTTTGAGCGGGACAGTCCAGTCGGGACCAATTAGGTCTGCAGTCTCTGAAGTGGCACCTGTTGACATTGTGCAGTGGAAGTTGTCTGGAGTGAAGGTAAGTTTTAAACTTCTTACATATAAGTTAGTTTTGTAACCGTCGACAGCATTATACATTGATAACTTGATAAAAATGCACGGATATCAGTAGTCAATTTATTTTAATTTTGGGCGGTGAATTTTGAACGACCATGCAGTCTCAAATCAAGCTAGCTACTAACATTACAAGTAGCATGGTTTCCTTTGATTTTTAGCAGACTTGGAAGTTGGTATCAATGTTGTGTTTGTGAAAATGTCCATATAAATTAACCTTTTAAGTAAGAGCGCCCACTGTACAAAGGGCTGCGTGAGATGCTTGCTGCATAGACGATCATTAGGAAGCTAGTAAGCTAACATGTAGCATACCAAAATGATGCTAACCACACAAACAAGGTGTCATATGAAAATAGAGACTCTGCTGCGTCACCAGTTTTCTGTCTTTTTGCCACGCACTCCCGCCACGCCATGTATTTGATTTTTCACGCTGAAAAAAATATAATACATTTCTCTGTTCTGTATAAAAGCTTGTGACCATGGTGAAGTCAGTTTCAGGTTGGATATTCGACACCGCTGAATCTACTGTACGCGACTACAGTATGTCTGACTAATCAACCTGAAACTAACTTCACCATGGTCATTAACAGCGGTGACGGTAAGAAAGCCGGTGAATCAGATCAATAAGACGTCAGTTTATGATTGGTTCACAGCGGTTACGTTCAACAGCACAAGACATCTAGAAGTAGAGTCTTTTATTGATGAGTAAAGACAGTTTAGTTATTTGAGGAAACATGATCTGAAGAAGACATGTTTAGTTTAATAAACCCAATATGGACTGACTATATATATACGTAAATGTATGTATATGTAGTGTTTGTAATTTTCACTGTTGCTGCACTTTGCATGAAATCATATTTCTTATCTTGTATGTGATATATGAAAGCATTAGATTGCTAACATCATGCTTTTTAAACTGCCGTTTACAGAATGACATCTGGTTCCAACTCAAAAAGACAGAGGTTACCTTCAACCAAAATGAAAGATCATGTACAGCTGGGAACTGAAGAGGAAGAGGAGGCAGCTGGTGAGTTATTGTTAATTTATTTACTGTTATTTTTTACTTTTAACTTATAAATTGGTAATTAAAGGAAAGTATAAGTAGAATAGCTGATTTTTAAAGATCCCCTACATGCTAAACTGTATACAGTATAAACTACTTGAATAATAATTTGAGTCTACTATGGTCTTTCCACAGAAACATTAAATTGTCTTGTTAGAAATCCTTAAAATTGTATCAGCACCTTTTCACACTTTAAAAATTGCACAATCAATTAATATATATATTTAATATATAATAATATATATTTAGCTGCTAGACTCAAGATGTGTCTTAATTCACTGTCAAGCAGCAGCGGCACCAGAAAATTATTATTGGGGGGGGAATGGCCACAACAAGTACCAACAAATAAATAATACTATAATAGATATAGATTTACTGTTCCCGGGCTAATACACTACATATTGTGAAATGCACATTACTAAATGTTTATCATATGATAAGCACATACATCAACACTTCTTTTATCCTTTTTGTTTTTCAGAGCCAGAAGACATCAGAGTGGCTCGAGGATTTCTTAAAAATGTTGCTCTGTACCAGGAGAGCTCTGCAGCCTTGATCCACCCGTCACAGAAGGCTCTTCAGGAGCTCTTTCCCAATAGTGGCTTGTTCCTGTCATCCTTCAAGCTTGCCTCCATAATGCACCAATGTGACCATGACAGCCTTCGACTTTTCCATCTCCTTTTTGAACACTTCTTATCCCGCAGAGGAGTGCACCAATGCAGTGGCTTTCGGACGACATGGCAAGATACCAGAGGGGAAGCAGCTGCTTGACCAAAGCAAAGTTGATGGAATTCTGAGTGAGTAGTTTTTCTGGTGTAATGACTGCAATGTTCTAGCTACTTTCTAGCATTTTGCTTTCTTGATTTGTTGTACACTAGTTACTTGATTGTTGTTGTTTTTTTTGAGTAAATATATTTTTAATATGATTAGATTATGAAAGTCTACAGTGGCCGACAAGGGTCAAACGGACAGCAACGACCCAATACGTCTTAGTTTGAGAAAACAGCTTCAAGTACAGAAACGAAGCAAAATCACAAAATCAAACACAAGTCTAAACGAGGTACAAAACGAGGAACGTGTTGCAAATGAAAAAACGCATCATCAAAAATGCATCACCATCAAACGCACTGCAAATGGAGAAACGATCTGTAAACCGAGAAAAGATCTGCAAACGAAAAATGCTGCATGCTCCAAACCTGCAGGGGGAGCCCTCAGCGTAACAGCTCAATAGAGAGACACACGGGATGGAGAGAGACAGAACAGCTGACTAAATCACAACGGTGTATGAAAATAGCAGGAATAGCAGGAACCGCTTATAGTGATCACGGATATAGTAATCAGCTGCTTTAGGATCCAGAGGACAGAATCATTTCTATACAAATGCTGTTTAAATAATTTGGTTATAGTGATCAAGAAATCCACTTATAGTTTCATTTTTGGGAATTTTATGAATGAAAACATGCAAAAACTATTTTAAAACTACGTGTATTTAATTTTTTACTCGCAGCAGGACATAGTGCAGCTGTCCCATCCAGAGCTGAGGAATGCAGTTCACATTTTAAAGGTCTCCTGCATGTTGGTTTTAAAAACTTTGACCTTTTACATGGTTTTGAAAAAGAAGTGAACCTGGTGTTAGGCAAAAGTAATTAAACTTGCATGATGCTTCTCAAAAGAAGCATTTGAAACGACTGAGTTTAAAATCAGAATAAAATTCAGTCAATGCTGAAGCTGTCTATTTCCATTTTTCTCATTGAAAAACGATACGAATGGCATTTAGATGATGTTCTGCATAAAAAATTAAGTGAAACAATAAAAATTCAGTTATAGTAATCAACTGCTTATTGTGATCATATTGACTCCAGACCAACGTGATCACTATAAGCGGTTTTCACTGTACAGCAGGAACGGTAATATGACTTTTACTTGATTTTATATATATGTTTATATATGTTTTCATGTAGATTAGCCTGCTTGATATAGGTATGGGAGACTGTGAAAAGAGGGCTTTTTAATGTATTTTTAAAGCGGGTGTTTTATATCAAGTAGGCTAATCTACATGCAAACATGTATATACATATATATATAAAATCAAGTAAAAGTCACATTACCGTTCCTGCTGTATTTTCATACACTGTTGTGATTTAGTCAGCTGTTCTGTCTCTCTCCATCCCGTGTATCTCTCTATTGAGCTGTTACGCTGAGGGCTCCCCCTGCAGGTTTGGAGCATGCAGCGTTTTTCGTTTGCTGATCGTTTGTCGGTTTACAGATCGTTTCTCCATTTGCAGTGTACCTGTTAGAAGTTAAAGTTTTGTACCTCGTTTAGACTTGTGTTTGAGTTTGTGATTTTGCATCGTTTCTGTACTTGAAGCTGTTTTCTCAAACTGAGACGTATTGGGCCGTTGCTGTCCGTTTGACCCTTGTCGGCCATCGTAAAAGTCAAATAAGAAATTGAATGATACTGAATGTAGCTCCTGGTGTGTTGAGAGATGCAAAGGAAGGCTAAGATGGATATAAACAGTCCTTTATTTTAACCCTTTGATACACTGGCACTGCAAACCCATTCTAATGCACAAGATGGACCAAAAATTACCTGTACTTGTGTCATGCATAGCTGAGTGTTTCTTTGCCATATCTTTTAAAATCAATTTATTTCATCATTTAATATTCCTAATATTAAATGTTTTCTTTGCCACTAGTCATTATTTCCTCTTATGTTAATAATCAAAAACATTATACACTTAGATGGAACCATTGCTATATAGAAATGTCATTTTACAGATAGTTGAATGAACATAATAATGTATTAAAATATGCTAGGAAAATATCAAACTAATTTAAGTCTCTTTTCTCCGTTTTTTTTTTTTTTTTTTTTTTTTGCAGCCTATGTGAGGCGGTGCGCAACGATGGAGAACTGGAAACCAGTAGAGGAGGCCAAGCTTAAAAAGGCCCTCATAAATAAATGCTGTCACAGGTCAGTACAGTGACTGGCTTTACAGGCATAATGTTTACAACAGCCCCTTGTTCACCAGTGTGCCCTCTTGTTCAGCAATTGTGAATTTTTTCACCGTTTATTGACATGTTGTTACACCAGTGGTTGTCAATTGGGATAATGTGATTGCTGTCACTTTTACAATGTATGGCCTGGTTCACTCTTGTAAAATGGTATGCACACTGGTATGCGTGTTGAATTAATGCAAAATAAATGATGCTGCAGTTCATTCACAGTTGTTTCTTATTTCTTCCATTTTAATCTTAATTTTCTCTTACCTTAGTCTCAAAGTCGTTCTGACATTATCTCAGTTTTTCTCCTAAGGGGAGGGGTTTAGGAGCAATAATTCAGATTGAGGTGATCTCAAGAAGAGAAGCAATTGAACTCCATCTTACAACTCTTTAGTGCTCCTCCTGGCTTTTTAGGAGCAATAAGTAAGACATGAATGAGATCATAAAGATGGAATCCTGAGATCTCCTATGATCTCAGTTTTTCTCCAAGGTGTGATTTAGGAGCAATAATTCAGATTGAGGTGATCTCAAGAAGACAGGCAATTGAGATCTGTATTTTAACTCTTTAGTGCTCCAACCGGCTTTTTAGGAGCAATAAGCAAGACATGAATGAAATAAAAAAGATGCAATGATGAGATCTTATCTATGACTATCATTTCTCCTACAAGTCTCAAAAAGTCATTCTCACAATATCTCAATTTTGCTCCTAAGGGGGGGTTTAGGAGCAATAATTCAGATTGAGGTGATCTCAAAAAGATACACAATTCAGATTGAAGAAATCTCATAAAGATATTCAATTGAGATCTCCGTACTGTCTTGAGAGATCAAGAAAAGACTATCCTGAGCAAAAAAGTTTTCCTCTGGGTATGCATCACATGGAGTTGGTCTATCACATTAAATCACACAGTTAAGTTTGTGGCTGTAACAACAGGACAACAAAAGGAAGAATTAATAATAAGGTAATCTCTCTTTAAATTTTCAGCTTTAATCTCCTTCTCTGTTGGTGGATTCCAGAATAAAGGTCAAGGTTGACATTTCCTGATGTGGAGTGTTATTTAAAATATGTCTTATGCTGTAGTTCATGATAGCTGGAAAAGTGAAGCACACATTCGTGCCAAACCTTAAAAAAAATTAGAGAAAATTATGGTTCTCAAGTTAAAATATGTGAATGTTACAGAATTAAATACAGAATTTGGTTCCGCATTCAAAATGTTGTCTTAACCCTGACTTAATCTGCTAAACCTGCTCATGAGAGGACATGACTCAAAGTTGCACTTAGTTGACCGTGTATTTTATCTTTCCAAGTATGTTGCAGAAACTTAAATCACTTTTTATATCTTCAATTTTGAAGGAGCATATTTTGTAACACATCAAAGTCCTGTGATGTTTCTATGTCATTTCGATAAGCACTGTAGCTATGAAGTGGATCACTTTGATTGTGATGTCACGGCCATGCGTCTTGGGTTTTTTTAGGCAGAAACATTTCCAAGCTTCTCCCAATGTTCACCCTCTCACATTCAGAAAACCTGGTCTATTTCCATGCTTCCGCCAGACTTCACTGCAGCAAATGACTTCTTATTATCCCTTGCAGTCATCTCTAGAACTATGTTGGATCCTAAGAATGCACAAATCTAAGCATATAGTATCCTCTCCATTACTGCATGTCACTCAGTATACAAAAAAAAAAAAAAACTCTCGTCCAAAAAAACTCAACACAATCTGAAGAAAAGTATACACCGCTGGGTTCTTTACTGCGCTTTGGACTACTCTGCCTGACGTTTTAAGGTCTTCACAATCTATTAGCAATTTTAACATTAAATCCAGCACCAGATGACTTTGGTGTTTTTATGCTTCTGCTCTTACCTTTTTTGCTCCTTTATCATTTTATGATAAATTATCATCAACCTTTTATTTATTTATTCAGGTAGTTACACTTAGGCACAAGTTTTCATTTGCAAAAAATATCTACCAGTATCTTTGTAAAATAAATCATACAGAGCAACAATATGATACACACTAAAATACAGCATCACAATGTTTAAAAATGATAAAGAATTCAGAAAACTAAGCAAGGAGAAGAGCAAGGGTTGTCTGATATTGTTTCATAAATATCCAGGAATAATAAATTCATCCAAATTTATCAGCAATCAACAGCTTGAGTTTCTGTTTAAGATGATTCCAGGTTAAGTGAATTGTTCCACTGTGCGATCAATGAAGTCTATCTTAATCTTGTAAAGGGAGCTGAGGAAAAGGCACATTTTTCTTACTCTGTATGGACCGAGGGAAAGACAGAGTGTTGGGGACTGTAGACTGGTATGTTTAGCTGACATGTAAAGGGATAAATACAGAGGCAATAGATAGTCCAAGACGGATCCAACTTATTTTTTTGTTTAGTTTAAAATGGTTAATGCATTTTTAATGCACCAGGAGTCTTGACAGATATGCTGTATATTCTTTATTACACTTGGTTACTAATCTGTTTTGATTGCTCCCCTAAAAAAGTTCAAATCGGTCTCATTTTAGATCACGAATTTTACTCAGTCACGTGTTAAGTGTTTGCATCTCCGTCCACTGATCCTCCACAAAAGAGCTGCAATGTGTTTTCAAAGCTCACTTCCTCCGATGTTTATGTTTGTTGATTTCATCCCCAAAGCCCACTGCAGATCTGTGGTATCAACTCATAAATGTTTGATTAGGAATTAACGAAGAGGTAAAGCAACGGCATCCTGCTAAATCAAAAGAGACAGATTCAAATCAACAAACACTCAGCAAACCAAATTTTGAACAAGCCTCATTATATTCTGTGCGACATTTAGTTCTGGCTGCTTTTTGAAAAAAAAAAGTGCTTTTGCTGAGCCATGTAGTAGAAGCCAATAGATGACTGAAAAACTTTTTAACACTAATTCTGTTTTCTCTTTCACAGCCTAAGTGATAACCCTAACTTCAAAATGGCTTCTGTAACCTTCTTGGGGGTTTTAAAGGTGGCGTTTCCTCCTATGAACTTTCTAAGTAAGTAGGCTACTAGAAATTTTGAAATGATTCAGTTTTTCAGCCTCCTACAACCTCCTTTTTTGCACACAAATTCGGTGGCATCCTGTCTGTAACCTATTTATGTAAACCTATCGTTTTCCAAGAAAGAAACACACACATTTTGAGTTTTAAAGACTGGCTCTCCTTAAAGATTTGGACTGTTTTCCAAAAGACAGCAAGTAAACCACACTGTTCAAAAAGCTTGGACACAGAAGTTGGGTTTGCCTCCAAACATTTAAAAACAGCTAAATATAAATCATTTAAAGTAAATCCATCGGCTGATACGTTTTTGATTTCATTGATAGAAACTTGGATGCCAAATCAAACTAGCGGGGAGACTTGTGGAGGTTCCATGTTGCCGGCTGGATGCTGCCTTGGAGGAGGTGGTTTTGATTGTAGGAAAACTACCAATAAAAAGCACACAAGTGGTTCTAGTTAGGAGCTGTTTGCTTGGATGTGGCTTAACCCCAATGAAAGGACATGATTTAATTACTCTGCAACTTTAATGCCCCTGATGTTGCTTTAGAAGGCACAGTGTGTAATCTTTTTTTTTTTTTAACCAACTGTGATTCATCTTTGAAAGAAAAACATGTTTCCAAGTCTACTGATAAAGCAGTGGAATGATCTTTTTGTATTAAATGGAAATTGGTGTAAATGACTTTGCACCAGAATGGCTGCTTTAAAGGTCTCCTTTTTTCATAATGTTCATATCTTGTTACAATTCTGAAATTCCAGCACAACTTTTGTTTTGTTGCATGTCGCTTCACCGTACCTCCAGCACTCTTTGACTTTTTCCCAAATTAAAAGCTCTTTAGAGTAAAAAAGTCAAAATGCTACACAAAAAAAATGTGATTCTTCAAACATCCTAGGCAAAAACATAAACTAAATAAACTAAAAGATCAACCGATGCCTTCAGATTTATTTCATATGTCGTTTTAAACACATTTTGAACCTTAAATTAGGGCATAACCTTAATAAACAAGCTTTGCTTCCAAAGTTTCCAAAGCTATTTTTTTTATTTGTACTTAACCCAAGGTACATTTTTATTGGCTCAGTCAGTTTGATAATTCATAGAGATAAATGCTTCAAGAATACCTTTATAAATACTACACTTTAAAAACAGTAACCATGATTGAAGTGTGCAAATTACCCAAAATCAGAAGACTTTCATTGTTTTTTTTGTTGTTGTTGTTTTGTTTTTTGTATTTTTTTTTAACCAGAAAATCACATACACAAACAGGCAGTTGAGAGCAAAAGTTCAAGATGAAGGTGCATAATATGCTGACTCGACATGCAAGCAATCTGCCATTGTGGGTAGGCAATTTCCATTGCACACGTATGAAACGTCAAAGAGGCCTGTATCTATTATAAAGATAAAAATAAGGCTGGTACAATATGACCAAAACTACAAAATAACAGTGAAAGGATGAAATTATAAAATTCTGTCATTTTTACCAGTGCACAACTGAAATTTTCAAAAGGAGAACTTAAGCACACATTAGGCACATATGATGCACATGTCAGCTTATGCAGTAAAACTGAAGCTATAGGTCTTTGCATTTGCTCTGTACAGTTTTTTATGTTCTATCACATACTGTGCATGTTTAAAAGTACCTGTGCATGTTTAATGGTATCTGTTTACAACTTGATATTATTTGCTCAGCAGAGGGGTTTAATTGTAACATGCAACTTTTAAGGGAACCACTACATTTCCAGTAGCAATATCTGATTTTCAGTGGGAACACTGATACATTGTATCGAAAAAAAAAAAAAAAATTAATAATATAATATCAGAGCAGAACATATCTACATATTAAAGACTTAAATATATCGGTTGAAATTAACTTAAATTACATTTAATCAACCGAATGTATTTATTAAATTAGGAACATTAAGATCATTCACCTATCTAGGAACGGTTGGGCTGGATACAAACCTTTCAAACATATTGGTTGTGTCCAAACATCTGCCCTAACCCCTAATCCCTATATAGAGCAGGGACTGTATAGTGGAATTTATACCAATTCAGTTAACTGACCGTTCGGAGAGGTGATCACTACTTTTGGCTCCCCGTCGGTAATGTGACTCCAGCTCCCCACACTCTGCCTGCACCATCTTTGTTCTTTCTCGCCTTTCTAAATAGTAGTAGTACCTAAAAGGACACTTCAGACCAGTTTGGCATTTTTAA